ATGAAAAAATGATTACAAAAATGAATGACTTTCAATCACTAATCTATAATTTTTACGAAAAATAAATTATATCATATGAAAACGCAGACCCAGATGTAAACTTTTTTATTGATATGCACACGGACAGTTTATATCATTATCCCAGTACCATAAAAAAATTTCTTTTTAAAAATGTAAATGATATAAATAGTGAAAGAATCAGAATCCTCCATATTATTATACGGAGTTTAAATAGAAATAATGAAAACCTTTGACATTTTCTTGAAGAAAACTGAAAACATTTTAAATATTATGTGTTACGGAAACTTGGTACTCTTATTTCAAACTTGAAAATAATTTTAATTTTCATCTTAAGAATTTTGAATTAGTTTCAATAGAAAGACCAACAAATAAACGTTCTGATATACGTAAAAAAAAACATTGTATATAAATTTAGAAGCGATTTGAGCGTTTCTGACAAAGATAGAGAGATCGCAACATTTGAATTAATAGACGTATTCCGCATTTCAATGACGTAATGATGACACCAGACAATGATAAAACGTAAATATCGAAATACTTGTTTTAAAAATGAAGCAGAAGATGTTCTGGTAGATTTACAAAATTATTCAACTGAAATACCAATTGTTTTAGAAACAAATAGAAATTTAAATATTTCACTTAATTTTGAATCTGCAGATGAAACTTTAACATGGTGTAAAATTTTTAAAATACTTGCCACTATTCAACTATTAAAGAAATAGAAAAAAAAAAAGCTAAAAGAAAAAGTATTGCAATAAACAAAAACATTTGTAATAGATAAAAGTTTTAAATCTGAACGACATATATCATCAGATAGTATTTACACTTCATATAACCTAACGTATATCATAGTAAAAGCAAAATGCAAAGCATGCATAAAAAATGAAGTTCGTGATTTAAAAGTTTATATTAGCAGATTTACGAGCTCTGTTAGAAAAGCATATTGCTTGTGCCCTGCCGGAAATAGTGGTTATTGTAATCACGTGATGGCGTTAATATTTGAACTTGCAGAATATTCTCTGAATTTACTTAAGTATGTACCTGAAGAGATTGCTTGTACAAGTAAATTAAGGCAATGGAGCAATCCAGGTCATAAAACTAAAACAATTAAAAATCCTATTATGTTTACAAATAATCAAAAATTTAAATTTAATCGTGGCATTAGGCCTACTTTATATGATCCAAGGAGAATAAAGTGTAAAGAAGAAACTTTAAAAGGAAATATTTGCAATCTAAAATCAAATTTTGCTTTTTTCAATAAAGATATTGACATTGTTCATTGCGTACCTGGCATTTTAAGTTTTACTAAAGCATCATTTGGAAACTTTCCAATTGGTTCTCCTTCATCTTATTGACTCCAGATAAATGAGAGCTTTGAACTTATCACTAATATTGAAATACTTGAAGCAATTTTTTTAAATGTGTCTAATACCCTACTCCTTTACCTCTTGACTTTTATAATTAAAATCATTGCTATATACCTTGCAATTGGGAGCTTAATGAGAATCAAAAAGATTTTTTGTTATCAATAAAAGTATCTTCTGAACAAAGCAGAAAGTATGAAACTGATTCAGTTACACAAAGTAAAAATCAGCTGTGGTTTAATCTAAGAAAATATCGCTTAACTTCAAGTACTTCTCATAAAATTTATATACGCTAAAGATAATTTAAAACTTTTGCTTATCAGTTAATTAATAACACACAAAAAGTTGATTTGCCTAAATTTATTTAATAGTCTTTAGACCATGGGCTTACTTATATGAACCACATGCATGAGAGAAATATATTGTAGTTTTGAAAATTAGATTTAAGCGCAATATTTCAGTTAGGACAACTGGAATTGTAATACAACCTAACTTATTTTGGTTATCTGCGAGTCGGGATGGTCTTGTATATGATGAAGAGTCTGAATATTATTATGGTTTAATTGAAATTAAATAACCTAGAATGAAAAAGCACTTGTTTATTTCCAAATGTTTGAATGATAATGATTTTTATATTGGATTAGACAATAGACACCCATATTTAAAAAATCATTACACTGGTTATTATACACAAGTAAAAATGACAATGAGGTTAAGTAATTCCCAGTGTTGTGACTTTGTTGAGTACACATTTAAAGGAATTGTTATTATAAGAACACCTTTTATCAACCAGTTCTTTTTTAAATTAATTACAAAGTTAAATGATTTTTACAATAACTATTTTTTACCACAAGTATTGGACAGTAATGTAAATAGCAAAAAAAGTATAATATCCTCTATATATAAATAAATGTTTTTACTTTTGACCTTATTTTTTGATAAGTAGTGGCAAAAAGTTACATAAAAGACAAGTTACTGTCCATAGTTGGTTAATTGTACTGTGTAACACCAAAGGAATTTTATTGCTTATTTGGCGAAATACATTAATTCTACGAATAGCACGTTTTATGTGAATCCTTAATAATACAATGGTTTGACTTTCTGTAGCATCTTCTTTACTTAGTTGTCCAAAAAGATGGTATATACTATTAAACATTGATTGTGTTTAAATGGTCTAAAATGGTAAACCCAATCAGCCATAACTGAATCATTTTCGTTCCATAGTTCTTTATTAAGGAAACCTGATCTTACAACAATTTCTTTGTCAGAAATAGATCCATCATAAAGCTGACTTGTAAAAGTTATTGCTCCTGAAGGAGGAATACCTAACAACCCTTTGCATCATTTTTATAACAAGAAAATAAGAACTCTAGTGTCTCAGTGATGAAGGTTTCTGACAAAACAGTTCAGTAAAATCAATAACGCATCTTGTTGATGGAAATTTCATTTTAAGCTTTCTGGCATTAGTTTATTAACTTGTTCGCGTGAAGGCCAAATAGGTACACTTATTATAGAAAATTATATAAAGTTTGTCCGTGTTATTAAATAACGAGATGTTGTTGATTTTGAAATTTTAAATAATTAAGATGTGTGTAAAATTGTAAATCCATGCATCTATAAAGCAAGGAGTTTTCCTGGATCAATTGAAAATGGGAAAGTTATACAAGTTTACAAACAAGGCGATAAAACGAACGTTAACAACTATCACCCAATTTCGGTTCTTTCAACTTTTTCAAAATCATTAAAAAGAGTAATATATAATAGAAAATTTAAATTTTTTGACCAAAATAATATACTATATAGTAAACAAAGAGGCTTTAAAAAGAATATTTCAACTGAGCACACAGTTATTCAATTTGTAAGGGAAATCTCAGAATCTTTCAAAAAAAAAAAAAACAATACACCCTATGAGTCTTTATTGATCTTTTGAAGGCTTTCGATACTGTTGACCATAAAATATTGCTTAAAAAGCTCTAGTACTATGGAATAAATAACAATATGCTAAAATAGTTTCATAGTTACCTATCAAATAGAAAGCAGTTTGTTATCTCTAACAATGGCCTTCAAAGTGACTATGCTGAAATAACCTGTGGTGTTCCACAAGGCTCTATTCTAGGTCCTCTTGGTTCTTAATTTATATTAATGATTCAAGTTAAGCAGCTAATCTTATGAGTATTATGTTTGCTATTGATACAAAATTTATTCTTATCAAACAGTAATATTAATGAGCTGTTTTCTAATATGAATAAATTACTTAAATGAGTATTTGAGTGGTTTAAATGTAACAAATTAACCATAAACTTTGATAAAACAAAATACATTCTGTTTCATCTTATATCTAAAAAACTTTTTTTACCAACAATCATGCCAAAAATTCTTATTGATGAGTTTGAAATAAAAAAGGAAACTTCTACTAGTTTTCTTGGTATTTATCTTGATGAGAATGTTACATGGAAACCACATATTAACTACATTTGCACTAAATTTTCTAAAGATAAAGGAGTCCTCTTTAAGTTGATAAGAATGAATTTAAAGATGACATTGAATAGTATCGTCTTTAAATTTATACATCCTGGTTAAAGTCACACTAATTCCTCAAATGATTTAACTACCCTTGCCCAATGACTACCATCAAATATTCTACATCAAATATACATTATCATAATGTAGATATGCATTATGATAATGTAGACATTAGCATCATCAGTATTTAGAGTAAAGGAGTATTTGTTTCTACTACTGGTGTGGACTATTTTAGTGGCTATCCAATTAAAAGTATCAAGTAAGTTTTTTTTTGTAAGTAAGGATTTGTTAGAGGATAATATTACTAATCTTGTCTAGTATTACAAGATCTTACTGATTTTGTCTAGTATTTTTACTAATATGTATGTATATATATATATATATATATATATATATATATATATATATATATATATAATATATATATATATATATATATATATATATATATATATATGTTCTTCATAATGGTAACAGTGACCCCTTTTTTCTTACGCAGTATTGGGAGCTTATCTACCTTTTCAATATATAAAAAATTTGCAAATAAAAGATTAACTGCATTCTTAGCTAACCTTTGTAAAATATATAATTAAAAAATATAAAAAAATATAAAAAAAAAAATGGACTTCCAAGTTTCTTTTTATTTTACAAAAATAAAAATAATAAGTTTAGAAAATGTGTAAATATAAACACAAATCTTAATTTTGAATGAATCATTGTTTATGAAGTCACACTTAAATAGCAATCCGTGGGGCTTCAGTACGTACATCAACTGAGGGTTTTGATTTAAGAAGATAATATCTAGAAATGAAGGACTTTTATTATTGCAAAAAAGCTTGTTTTTTTTTTTAATTTTTTTTGTTTTTTTTTGTTTTTATCTTTTTCTTTTTTAAGAAAAAAACTCTCTGGATTTATGTTAGCATTTTATATATATATATATATATATATATATATATATATATATATATATATATATATATATATATATATATATATATGTATATATATATATATGTATATATATATATATATATATATATATATATATATATATATATATATATATATATATATATATTGATATAATTTTAGGATCAATATTGTGCTATCTTCTCCCCCTTTAATCAACACTAAAATTGGAGATGTACTTATTAGTTTTTGTCAAATCGGAGAAATTCAGTTATACCTGGATCAGTATTCTGATGGAATCACTACTAATGGCAGAGACTACACCCTAACCTTGCTTGATAGTCAATATCTTCCTGTCAAACCAAACTCAAAGTATGTTCAGTACAATTCTTCATTGCGAAAACTATTTTTTGTTCCTCAATCTTTTTTACCAAACAGTACAAAACAAGATGTGTTCTATACAATGCGAATTAAGAATTCAAATGGAGATATTAATAATGACTCTTTTAAAGTGTCTATGTCAGGAGTTGTTCCTGAACAAAGATATATTGTTACAGCTAAAGTTAGAATTTCTAACCCAGATTTATATACAACAGATGTAGAAAAACTTTACAGGGTATTGACAAAGATACATAGTTATTTTGCAAACCAGTTTTATGTTAGCAAATCTTTATATTTAGTAGATTATTCTATTGTTGGGGATGTTATGATAATAAGTTTGCAAGATTGTTCATTTAATCAAGGGCAGCAGAATTGTAATAGAAAAAATAAGTATGATCTTAAATCGCAACTTTGCGTGCGTGGATATAAAATAAACGATATTTGTGTTCCGCGACAAATGTTGTATCAGCAGTTAAGTCCAGAATTTCAACTATTAGATGTTACTCTTTCTTCTTACAATAAAAAAGGAACTTGTAATCGCAGTACACAGCCTAAAACTATAGCAAAATTAGGTGGAATGTTGGTTGATTATCCATTTTTTGGTATTCCAGGATTGTTTAATTATACTTTTCCAATTCCATTTTATGAAAAAAGTGAAACCCTAAGTCCAGATGATGTTTTCGATCTTTTTGTATTAAGCAAAAATGAATCAACTGAACTTTTTGAATTTGTTCCTTTAACACATTGGGCTTATGTTTATAATCAAAAAGGTTTGAAAAAATTGGTTAAAAATGTTTTTAATTTAAATAATTATTAAATAATAATACTTATATAATAATAATAATTATTATATATAATAATTTATAAATAATTATAAATAATTAAATATTAAATATATAAATATATATTTAAAGATGTAAATATAATAATATAATATATATAATGGATTAAGTTATGAAATGAAGTTTTAATTAATTTATAGTATTTTTCTCCTATTAATTATAATTTGATTAGCATTAACTTAACACATCGCAGAACAAACAAATATTAAAATTAGTGCAGAACTTATATAGGAAATATTTTTTACATTAGCTAATATATTTGTTATTGATGACTTCTATGCTTATTGAATTGGCTTGGCATTAGTACTACTTGGCTTCTACTATTGCCAGTACTACTGACTCTGCTGGCACTAAAGTTTAAATTTCTTTTAAATGTAGTGGTTTGTCAATCTCTTACCCAGATAATTAACTTTGTGGTTTGCTTACCCAGATAGTTAACTTTGTTGCTTGTCTTTCAGATCACTTACCTTTGCTTCCCAAATTACTTACCTTAATGATTTTTTTTGAACTCATTCTTTATTAGAGTCTAAATATTACACTCTTTCTGACATCTCAGAGAAATATTTTAATCCATTGTAAGACATACAAATTACATATAAATTAATTAAACTAAATTGTTGTTAAAGTTACTCTTATTTAAACTTATCTAAACCTTGATAACATTTTTTTCATAGTTATCTAAACCTTGTAGTCTTGATAATATTTTTTTCATAGTTATCTAAGCCTTGTAGTCTTGATAACATTTTTTTCATAGTTATCTAAACCTTGTAGTCTTGATAACATTTTTTTCATAGTTATCTAAGCCTTGTAGTCTTGATAACATTTTTTTATAGTTATCTAAACCTTGTAGTCTTGATAACATTTTTTTCATAGTTATCTAAGCCTTGTAGTCTTGATAACATATTTTTCATAGTTATCTAAACCTTGTAGTCTTGATAACATTTTTTTCATAGTTATCTAAGCCTTGTAGTCTTGATAACATTTTTTTATAGTTATCTAAACCTTGCAGTCTTGATAACATTTTTTTCATAGTTATCTAAGCCTTGTAGTCTTGATAACATTTTTTTATAGTTATCTAAACCTTGTAGTCTTGATAACATTTTTTTCATAGTTATCTAAGCCTTGTAGTCTTGATAACATTTTTTTATAGTTATCTAAGCCTTGTAGTCTTGATAACATTTTTTTATAGTTATCTAAACCTTGTAGTCTTGATAACATTTTTTTCATAGTTATCTAAGCCTTGTAGTCTTGATAACATATTTTTATAGTTATCTAAGCCTTGTAGTCTTGATAACATTTTTTTATAGTTATCTAAACCTTGTAGTCTTGATAACATTTTTTTCATAGTTATCTAAGCCTTGTAGTCTTGATAACATATTTTCATAGTTATCTAAGCCTTGTAGTCTTGATAACATTTTTTTCATAGTTATCTAAGCCTTGTAGTCTTGATAACATTTTTTTCATAGTTATCTAAGCCTTGTAGTCTTGATAACATTTTTTTATAGTTATCTAAGCCTTGTAGTCTTGATAACATTTTTTTCATAGTTATCTAAGCCTTGTAGTCTTGATAACATTTTTTTATAGTTATCTAAACCTTGTAGTCTTGATAACATTTTTTTCATAGTTATCTAAGCCTTGTAGTCTTGATAACATTTTTTTATAGTTATCTAAGCCTTGTAGTCTTGATAACATTTTTTTATAGTTATCTAAACCTTGTAGTCTTGATAACATTTTTTTCATAGTTATCTAAGCCTTGTAGTCTTGATAACATTTTTTTCATAGTTATCTAAGCCTTGTAGTCTTGATAACATTTTTTTCATAGTTATCTAAACCTTGTAGTCTTGATAACATTTTTTTCATAGTTATCTAAGCCTTGTAGTCTTGATAACATTTTTTTATAGTTATCTAAACCTTGCAGTCTTGATAACATTTTTTTCATAGTTATCTAAGCCTTGTAGTCTTGATAACATTTTTTTATAGTTATCTAAACCTTGTAGTCTTGATAACATTTTTTTCATAGTTATCTAAGCCTTGTAGTCTTGATAACATTTTTTTCATAGTTATCTAAGCCTTGTAGTCTTGATAACATTTTTTTCATAGTTATCTAAACCTTGTAGTCTTGATAACATTTTTTTCATAGTTATCTAAGCCTTGTAGTCTTGATAACATTTTTTTATAGTTATCTAAACCTTGCAGTCTTGATAACATTTTTTTCATAGTTATCTAAGCCTTGTAGTCTTGATAACATTTTTTTATAGTTATCTAAACCTTGTAGTCTTGATAACATTTTTTTCATAGTTATCTAAGCCTTGTAGTCTTGATAACATTTTTTTAAAAGTTATCTAAACCTTGTAGTCTTGATAACATTTTTTTCATAGTTATATAAGCCTTGTAGTCTTGATAACATTTTTTTATAGTTATCTAAACCTTGTAGTCTTGATAACATTTTTTTCATAGTTATCTAAACCTTGTAGTCTTGGTAACATTGTAGTCTTGGTAACATTGTAGTCTTGGTAACATTGTAGTCTTGGTAACATTGTAGTCTTGGTAACATTTTTTCATCTATTAATTAAATCATAGTAACTTTTACTCATGTTTGTAAAATTTGTGATTTTAATTTTTAAAAATTCTGGAGACTGAAATTCATACATTGTTATTGTCTTGTTGACAATGGCAAACCAATCAGAAACTATTACTAACATTATTCATAAACAGTCTTTTTAGTGATTAGGATCAGTATTGAAAAAGCTCTTAAATTTCAGCATTAATGATATTTCCAAGGTGATCCAATATTGTCCTAAAGACAACCACTGTACTTATAAAAATAAAAATATTTGATCTAAAACGAAATACTAAATAATATATAGATTTGTGTACTACTACCTAATCCAAAAAAACACTGTAATAAATTAAAAAAGCATTAACGCTATGAATACCATTACTCAAATCTATTGAGAATTAAACAGAAAAAAAGTTAACAAAAAGGACATCCATAACACTTTTTTTTTTAATGTAATAAATTTTAGAATTATTTAAACAAATTAAACTTAATGAAACTCTAAAGAGTCAGTCATAACAATGACTGAAGCACATATAACAGGTTTTCATATAAACATGAATATTCAGTTGAATAATTAACTTAAAATAAGCTTAAAAAAAGACAAACTATATTCACGACAACTAACAAATAACTATTTAAAATAAAGAGCAACTTGTAGGTTTACCAAATATCTAGTTAATATATCAAAAAAGCTCTTATGAAAGGCTTAATCTATACAAAGTATTTTTCATTCTGGTTAAGATTAATAAAATGCAAAACTTCTCAATAAATCGAAAAATCAGAAAACTTACAACAACATAAGATGTGTGTTATTTTATGTGTTCTTTTTTAATTTTGTGTTTAATTTTTAATTTTGTGTTTAATTAAGTGTTCTTTTTTAAAAGATGTGTTATTTTATCTATACGTTCCAACATTGTTTATAAAAAATTGACTAAACAATTTTTTATCTTTTTTTAAGTTCTTCAATTTATTTTTCAATAAACTCAACCTCTTGTTTAGTTTCAATACTTTTTTTTTTTTTTTAAATAACTCAGGTCTGCAAGTTCCACTGCAAGTTTCTCTGCAAGTTCCACACACTCTGTAATCCTGTTTTCGATCATTAACAAAAAAATTAAATCTTTAGCTTAAATCTTTTGTTTGCAAACTTTTTGATTTAAATACAATTTAATACTTTTTATAAATTACTTTAAATACTTATTCTGTTTTCTCCTCCTTTTTAGCATTATCCAATTCAGTTATATTTTTAAGGGGTTGAAAAACTTTGACAGATGGTGCTGTGATTTGAATCGTGTGCGGTTTCAAATCAATTAGATGATCGTTATAATTCTCCGGGAAATAATACTTAAAGGTGTCATGTTTATTTTAAGTTGCCAGATATTTTCAGTCTTAATAACATCTACTTTTTTCACACACAAGTCTAATATCTTTTGTTTTTCTGTAATTGACTTGTTAAAGTCAGAAATGACAAATGGTAAAGAATTATCCTCTTTTGGTTTTGCAAATAAGTAAGGATCAGTTGACTGTTAGAGAGTAAGGATTGATTCTTTCATTGTACTGCTGTTCAAGTCATCAATGGAAATTTAGAAAAAAAAAATCGAAAAATGCTATCATGCACTTGACGGAACTGGTGATGCTAGAACTATTCTTATGACTAAAGTTAAATCTGAGTAAACTAAAGCCTTGTTGAAGTAATAAGGTAAAGTAAGTTCAGCCTTGTTGAAGTAAAGCTTTGATGTGAGTAAAGTTTAGCCTTGTTGATAAGCAATTTTTTTTGGACATAAAAAGTTCATATTTCTTAAATGTAATTCTTAAATTTATATCCAAATTTTTTGTTGTTAAAATTTATTCACAATTTATTACAAAGCTAAAACTACTATTTGTATATTCATTCAAAAATAGCTATTCCATTTAGAGGTATGCAATTTTAAATTGTATATTTAGAGAAATGCAGTTTTAAATTATATATTTATAAATTTTAGTTATTTTGTAATTTAGATGATCATCAACTTTTTATTACCTTGACAGATGAAGCATGGAGTTTTAAGTATGTGACAATCTTTGTTTTTGATTATGAACTTTTAAGTGAAGAGGTTTATTCAGTAGATATACCTGCTATACCCAGACCTCTTCACTATTACTATGTCGAATTTTCATTTTCATCATTTAACACCCGGAATTTAAATATTTGGTCGTATCACATGCAATATTTTCTTAAAAGTTTAATTGATGTATTAGGCAGAAATACTTACGGTTCAAAGATTTATTTAAGATGGTTTTACCTGAATGGTGGGGAGTTTGCAACTCAGAAGAAAGATACTTCTGGTTATCTGGCTTGGGGAATTGATTTTAGAGAACAATGTGACTTTGCTCTAATTCGAGCAACTCAGAAAACAATGTTTTTAAATTCAAGCTTATTAATTATTAATCCAAAATTTTTACAAAGTATGAGTAATGTACTAACGTTGACCAGTATAAAAGAAACATATAATGGGATATGCAAATTTAATGCACCTATTTTAAAAAATGTTATTCCCACAATAAAATTTTTGTATTGTGGAATTAATACATTTCAAATCCCACAAAATGCTTTTATCGATGTAGAAGATGGTGATACAAGAAATTTAAAATTGACTTTGTTGGATGAAAATAATAAACAGTTAAATAGTGATTCATGGATTCAGTTTAACATTAGTACCCAAACAGTTATTGGTTTAGCCAGCAAAAGTATTGTTAGCAAAAGTTATAAGTTTATATTGGTGGTTACAGATAGTTCTGAATTATCAATTAATTCTTATATTGATATTTTTCTTAATGAAAGCGTGGCAGAGGAAACATTTTTTATCACAATTAAAGGTTTTTTTATTCCTTTAAATTTAACTGTTGCATATACTGCCTGGAGCTACATAAATACATGGCTTTATAATCATGGTTATTTTTTCAATGACTTTCGTTTGCTTCAAAATACATTAACTTCACTTAATGAAAATTTTTTTTCATTTACTAGTTGCTCATTTCGAAACCAGCCTTGCGATGCTATAAAAATTAAAAAATATAGAGATTTTTTTTTTGAAAGCGATACATCTGTAAAACAAGAATTTTTAGCATATATGTCTCCTATATTTTCAAATTTAAAAGTAAGTTTAGATACAGCAGGAGCTTGTAAAACAAACAATCCACCTGTACTTAATAAACCTTGGGGTCCTTTGTATGTATCAACATGTGAAACATTTTTAATGGTTGTTCCAACTGAAACTTTTAGTGATGTTGAACAAGGCAATACACGCTTCTTATATCTTACTTTAACTACTCTCAATCAAAACATTGTTCCTGAATGGATTCAGTTTTCTAGTGAGAACCAGACTCTCACAATTGTACCCTATCAGCTTTTGAAGAATACATATTTCAGTTATCAATTAAAAGCAACAGACCTTGGTGGACTAAGCGTTGTTCAAAATTTGAATATTATTGTTAATATGTCATTGAAAGAGCCATCCCTATTGGTAAACATGAATTTCTCTGTAAGGTTCCAAGTCAGCGACTTTGTAACAATTTACAAGACTATAAGAAATCTAGTAGTATTATATTTTGGAGATACAAAGTCATCAGTGGAATATATTATTTTGAGCTCATATCCTAACTCTGTTTACAATATTCAATGGACAAATTGTACTCTTTCTCGCAATATTTGTGAAATGGATAAATACAGGTATGTTGAAGAACGCATTAAGTCATCTGGTTTTCTTTCATATTTAAATTTAAATTTTGTTATTTTAAACATTTCAATTGCAATGAATGGAATTTGTTTTTATACAAACACGCCACCAAAAGTTATGTTTCCAATACCATCTCAATCTCTAAAATATTGTTGGTATTTAAAGTATTTAATTCCAGAAAATACATTTAGCGATTTTATTGATGGTGGCACACGAAATCTAACTTTATCAATGACACAGTCAGATGGATCTCTTCTTAGTAGTAATAGCATTGCATCGTTTAATTCTGAAACTCAGGAGGTAGCGATCCTTGTTACTTCATTTCCTACCAAAAATCAGAGCAATATCTTTAGCATTATTGCTAAAACTAAACGGGGTTTAAGTGTGACCACACCCTTTATAGTTTCAGTTATTGGTCAACCTGTTGAGCTAAAATCTTTTGTTCAATTTATTGTAGTTTCAAATCTTTTTAAACAACTAGAACCAAATACTTACGCCTATATTATGTTTATGAACTTGTTTAACACCATTTATCAGTTTAATCCAGAAAGTGCACATGCCTACGAAATTATTAATGGCAATAGTTTTGTGTCTATTAAAATGGTGCCTTGTGGTTTACAGTCATGCACTCGTGCTATAGATCAACAACGTTCAAGTCAACAGAGTTATAATTTAACTGCATTTAAACCTTATTTTACTATTGAGCAGATAGAGTATAAACGTGATAGCAGTTGCAAAGGTCAACCTCCTGTAGTGGTGCAATCCCTCAAGCAGTTTGTAGTCAAAACATGTGCAACATTTAGCTACAATATAAGTAAGCAAGCATTTCAGGATTCTGATGGATCTGAAAATTTGATCTACATCATTACACAAATAAATGGAGAATATATTGTTCCAAGTAGGGCTTGGGCTACTATTGAAGGAATGACTATTTCAGGTATGACTTACTTTTAAAGGTAAATATAACATTTTTACAATTTTTAATACTTTTTGTAATTTTGTTTTCTTTTAATTTAAAATAATGATCAGAATGACACAACTTTTTTTTTTTTTGATTTCTAGGTATAATCCCATATAATATACTTATAAATCAACCAAATGGTTTATTTAATCTAACCATTCGTGCTGTTAATAGTTACCAGCTCTTTGTTGAAACAAGCGTGCTAATGATTGTTGATGGGCCCCTTCCTCAGATATTTTATAAGTATGCCATGACTGCAAACATCATTGGATCTTTAGTACAATCTAATTTACAAAATCAAATTCTTGTCACCAACACCATTAACAAGTTTTTTAATAATAGAACAGTAAATATCCTTTCATATAGCAATTTAGTTAGTGGAGGTTTTAAATTAGAATGGAGCGTGTGTTTGCTACCTAATTTCTGCACACAGTCAGGTTTAAAAGAATATTCAGCTAAAATTTACAATCTTGGACAAGCATCTTCAGGAGTTAGCAGTTTATTATTAAATTTATTTTCAAGTGTCAATCTAAAATTGTTATCTATTGATGAAGTTGTGCTAAAGCAATACATGCCACCATTTAATTACCCAACTTCTCAAGTCAGTATCTACAATATAACAGTGGATTATTGTGGTGGTTTTAAACATTTGATTGATGAAAATCTTTTTTTGGATGTTGAAGATGGGAATACACGCAAATTAAAACTTCGTCTTATGGCATCAGGTAAATAAGTTCTTTGTTCAATTTTCAAGTGTCAATCTAAAATTGTTATCTATTGATGAAAAAAAAATGATGATGATGATGATGATGATGATGATGGTGATGGTGATGATGATGATGATGATGATGATGATGATGATGATGATGATGATGATGATGACCATCATCACCTTCAAATTAAACTTCTACAAATCATCATCATCATTAACTTAAATTTTTTTAAAAGTTCTTTAATTCAAGTTGCACAGTCTTTAAATAATCATGTGCAACCTTCATTCCTAATAATAGAAAAATTTTATTATTACATTATCATTATCTCAGTAGAATTTTTTTATTAGAGATGCCACTAATATTCTGCAACTATTCGCTATTTGGTGTATTCGGCAACATTTTACACTAAGGGGTCGTCCATAAAGTACGTACGCTCATAGGGGGAGGAGGGGGTCTACAAAAAGCGTACACAAAAGCATATGGGGGGGGGGGGGAGGGGTTGAATATAAAAGTACGTAGGCACTAATTAAAAAAAGTAATTTTTCTTAGTTAATGCTTGTATTTCTAACTTATCACCACTAACAAATACTTAACTATAACTAGATGTTTTTTAATAAATAACTAGATATTTTTGAATATAATAATAAATAAATAATTTTTTTTTAAATAATAAAACCATGACTGTGACTTTGAAATGTCAGTTGGGAAGTATACTTGCCCTTAAAAATTATCTAATTACAATAATTTTTTTGGAAACTTTAAAGTTCTTTTTACTAAAGGAACATTAAAATTAGTAAAAGAAGTTTAAATTTAACAATAAAAACGTAATAAGTTTTAATGGGCTTGGTAAAAATGTTGTGGGTTTTTAGTATAATAATCCACAACATTTAACCCAAATAAACAGGCAGGCATGTTTATTTGGCACCTCATAGTTATCGTTTGATGTGTTTTATAAATGTAACAACTCACATACTTAATTACGTTTATTAGTTATTTAGGAATAGAGAAAGTTTTAATGATTTGCTTGCAATGGTCAAAACAATTGTTTTTATCTCCAGCCTGGAAATTTTAATGTCACAGTTTTTTACATACCCTCCACCTATGTTGTTGTATCGCAATTAAAGTAGGAGAATAACTACCGTGAGGAAAACACTTTCGTGCTCAATCTTATATAAATACAAAATTTCTTTGTGTATGAGAACATAGTTATTATTTCTTGATTATAAAAAATGTCACGTAACAAAATTGCATCATCTTATATAGGGTAATTTTTTTGATAAATATAATAAACAAAGAAGCTTGAGAAAACTGGAAATTATAAATTTTTGAAAAGTATTTCAGCTAAAAAAATGCAAGCAATCAATTTAGTGTTTGAAAATTTTTAACTCTGAACATCAAGGTGACAGTGAAGTGTATTACTTTTCAATCGTTTAAAAAATCATTAACAAAAAATAAAACAAAAAAGTCTTGTTGAAAGATTTGTGTAGTTGATCTTTAAGCACTTTTGCTGGCAAACAGGAAACCTTTAAAATCAACAAACTGGTGAGAATGTTTGTTTGGTACCTTTAAAAATTAGGTTGTGGTTAAGGGCAGGGTGATAAAATTTTTTTTAAGTAGTCACAATTTAAAACTAAAACCATTATCTCTGTTATCACCCAATCAAATATGTTTTTGATGACATGAATTTGATCAGAATTACTTTCATTTACTGTTAAATGCGTATCATTGTTTTCATCGTCATTTTAATTTTAATCAGAGTTCGTGTTGATTATGTTTCTAAACACGCATTTGTGACGTTTAACACTTGCTTTAGAAGCGTGATAAATTTTGCAGAATTTGCAAGTTCTTTGATCAATTTTTTGTTGTGAAATTGATGGGCAGTACAAATCAAAGGAAGCTTCCATCGAAATTTTTGAACCTGTATATCCCAAGCGCTGCGCTAGAGAAGAAAAGTAAGGTTTAGGAATATTTCGTGCTACCTTTGGCTCAGGAATAAAAATTCCTTCAGCAGCATGAAACATTAAAGCTGGACCTGGTAAATAACGTTAAGGAAAATATTTTTTCAAGCAACTTCGCCAAGGTTTACAGCAATTCGGAACATCACACTTAACGATCATTAAAAATTATTGACTTTGTCTTACGTGATTTTCAATCCATTTTGAATCTTGCTCTAGTATTGGTGACAGTTGGGAAGGTTCAACATATTCAGCACAAACAGAATAGTTATCAATTACTATATCCGACCATACCTCAGCTAGAGTTTCTGCAGCTTTAGCAAAATTTTTTTTTCTAAATCAACGTCAATTGTTTTTCCAGATGCATTTAGATGTGTCCCAAAATGGTCATGTGGCAAAACATATCCTGCTAACTCTCGACTCAGTGGAGCCATACGGCCTTCAACCCTGTTATATGCTGAATAACGAGGTGCATGAGTTCCTGTTAGATAGACATCCAAATCCCATTTTATAAATCTTGCAATTGCAATTTGCAATGGTTTGGGAAACCTTGGATTTTCATCAGGGCCTCCATCACATGCAACAACAAATATAGGTTTTACCTGACCTTCTGGAGTACATATATGAAGCTTAAAATTTTCAATTGAAACAAGACGCTCCAAATCACGGCCATGAGTCAAAGCAGTGCTGCTATCATGCTTCATAGATCTAATAGCAGTATACGTTGGGCCAGAATATGACACTGCATCAGCAAATTTGTTTGGATCAATAATACATGCTGCATAAACAGACGGTATAAGCTTATGTCTGGAAGCGACTAAAAAATCATGATCTGGCAAACGTACTTGATAATCAAGATGCATCAAAATTGGTGATTGTTTTGTTGCAGCTGCTAATCTTAATGGTACTTTAGCTTTGTCGTCTAGACTTAAATAAAAGCATGAATCTGGACCAAATATTGAACAAACTTCATCCATGTATTGCATGCACGCAAATGTAAATCCAGCATCGATATGCCTATCACGAGCTGTATTAGCAGTCCTGATCAATTTCACAGGAACTGTCTTAATGTGACATATTCCCTCAAGTGTGTTTGATCGCTTAGGCATCAGTCTTAAATAAGTTGCAGATCGCGATAAAAAATAACCCAGTTTTAGTAGGCTTTTATTTAAGTCATCAAGTGTCTTACATGAACGTAACTCCTGCAATCTTTGTCGATCGCTAGCAGCGGCTCCTATTGATGTGATGTTAACAATGGCATTAAGAAGATCTGGCTGATCTTCAATTACAACTGGTCTACCATTTTTTTCTCTATTGAATTTAGAAAGTTTTGGTTTTAAGTAGGGCGTGTCATGGACAATATCATTAAGTGTTTGTTTCAAACTTGCTCTGCGTTGTCTTTGACGGATTGCCTCGCGTTTCATTTTTTTAAGACGGTTTTGTTTTATTTTTATTTGCTTTTTTAAAAAAATTGATTTTATTTTAAGTTCATCAGTTATCAATCCTGCACGGCGCACATTTACCAATGTTAACAGCTGCTCTTTAAACTGCGAAATTTCAGTTTGAATTTCCTCTTGTTGTGGAGCATGAGATTTTGTCGGCTGATCAATTGGTACTTCCGTTTGTGATTTTTGACTTTTTTTTTGAATATCAAATTTAGAAGAAGTAGCTAGTGTTTTTTTGATTTCAAAATCTATTTTGCTGCTTCATCAGATGTTAACAAAGCTTCTGGTCCCTCATCTGATGTTTCGTTTGTGAGAGGAAGCTTCACTGCAATAGATTGATTATTTGATGTTTTAACATTAGACCAAAGAGACATCAACTGACTTTTACTTTCCATTGTTTTTCGTGTGAGTTCTTTTAAAACTGAATCATACGTCAATTCTTTATGCTTTATACCACAATCTATTAGCTTTTTTCTGTTGCTCCTGTTTACTTTTTTGTGGCAAAGCTTTTGCTACTTGTTGGTAAATAATTTTGTACTTTTCACTATTATTCATTTGAATAATTCCGCCTTCAAACTAATTTTAAACTGACTATTTAAAGCACAACTTAAATTTACAAGCTACAATAAATGCAAATTGGGGTTGTTTGTTTAGTTTTTAAATAATTTATAGTATCTTATTTTTATTATAAAATATATTTTACAAAATAAAGTTTAAAAAATTATAAAAAATACTATTTACATAACAATTTCAAAAATTAATATTTAAAGTTTAACAATACTTTAAAACTTTAGCTTTTAAACTTGTTACCCTTAGTAAGACATTCCGAAGAAATTCCGAAATTCTTTTTATGAAGAAATTCCAAAATTCTTTTTATACTTCATATTGTTTTTGAAAAGTGCTGAGCAATTGATTTAATGAAATGGAACATTTTGAAATATAAAGAATATCACCACTTTTTGATGACTTCTTATTTTTACTCATGCCTGGCGTACTTTATTGACGATCCCTAATATTTAAATTTCTTAAATAATGTTTTTTTAATAAATTTTAACTTTTTAACTCATAAAAAGAAAAAAGAAGATGGGGGGGGGGTTACTTCAAAAGCGTACGTACTTTTCAAAGAAGGGAGAGGACTAAAAAGTACACATGGCAACTGGGGGAGGGGGGAGGATAATTTTTTGAAATACGTACGTACTTTATGGATGACCCCTAATTGGTATCCAGTCGAATATTGAAAACTATAGGGCTGAATACGAAATACAAAAACATGAAAAAAATCACATTAGAAATAGATTATACTACTATATATTACTCTAAGTAATACAATTAACAGATTAATCAAATAATAAATATATTGTGTACATAAGATTGTAATAATGAAAATTTTTTTATATTTAAAACAAGTTTAATACTTAAAATCTATCAATGGTAAATTATGATAAATGAAAACAATTTGTTTGACTTTTGTTCATAACAAATGATTCTACTTTTCCTTGTAAAATATACCTAAAAAATATATTCATACTGCTACCTGGAATGGTAAATAAATCTTAGCAAATTCTGCTAGGCTTGGATGTTGTTTTGCATTAGCTGACCACCACTTGAAAGGGTCTGTTTTCAAATCTAGGTGAACAATTATCATGAATAAATCAATTTTGTTTGTTGTTCAAAACAATTCCAGAAACTGTTGTGTATCTCAATTGTTTCATCATTGCCATTTTTTTTCTTTCAAAGCGGAGATAAGTCATCATTGGTGCTACTAGGCGCTTTAAAACTTTTCAGAAACAAGTAATTTTTTTCTTCTCAAAAAGTTATTTATTTTGGTCTTTGTGTTTTTACTAAAGCCAGGAAATTAGTTTTGAAGGAGCGGTCAAGAAAAGTTGCAACCAGATATTTGTCATTTTCATTAAAGTTGAACTGCACTTTAATTTAAGATTAAAGCATATCTCTTATTGTTGATATATTCGGTATTCTCTGTGCTGCTTCTTCCGCTCCCAGGTATTTTAACAACGTGACAACATGTGAAGTTACCTCAGAAATGCAAGAAGTACCTGAGCTGGTTATTTTTGTAAATTCTTCAAACAATTTGAGAATTTTGATACATTGTTTCATTAATTAAACATTAATTAAAATTCTTTAAACAATTAAACAATTAATTGTTTAATTGTTTAAAGAATCATGATCAGTCATGTACAAGCTTTTGCTTTAATAATCGCTACAATTAATAATGTTGAATTCCAGTGCGTGCTTATGTCTTGTATTAATTGGTTGTCTGGCAGTTTAAGTTCTTGGCAAATGTATTTTAGTTTTTCTTGTGCTCTACTAGAGTGGTTAAAATGGGTGACGATTTCTTTTGCAGCAGCTACCATCTTTGTTTTTTCTATTTGAAAATTTAGCAATACATAGACGGCCAGTTGCAGTAAATGAATAAAATACTTAGCAAAATCATATTTTGCAACTGGTACACCTTTTATCTTATTAGCTCCACTGTCATGGACAAGAAAATGGATCCTGCTATGTGAAATGTTCCATCTTTCTGCAATAATCTTGAGTTCTTTTGCGATATTGGTACCAGTATGTGAAAGAGAAAACGACTTAATTGCTAACATGTTCAATGATAATATATGGAGATATTCAATGCACAGTAAAACTTAAGAAACTTTGGTTGTTGATCTGAGATGTTCACATGTTGTGCATACAAATGTTACGTGTAAAATACTATCTTAAATTTTAGTACAAATTCAATTAAATATATCAGGGATAATTTTCTCAGTTATGTAGGTGCTACAAAGTATTTTGTATTGTTGTATTTCCTTTTCCATAACTTTATTAAAGCCTACTTGTTCAACAAGTGATAATGGTTGGTTGTCTAAGGCAATTATTCCTCCAATTAAGTAATGATATTTTATTGATTTCAGATCATTAATATTCCAACACAATTTCCTTTCAGCCGTCTCTTTCAAGTTAACTGTTAATTTTTTAACAATTGTTACTGCTGGTATCTTAGAGTCAGTATAAGTGAAAGAACCCTTTTTTTTTCTCCCTCTTGTCGGCAGAGCTTTAGTTTTCTCTGTTTTGAAAGTGGTTTTTCAGAGAAGTTATAGCTTGAAACAAAAAAGAGTATTTATAGTAATTAAAGTACAAAAAAACTAGGAATAAAAAATTACCAGCGTAAAAAATTTATTGTGTTAAAACATGTTTAACTAGTTATAATATAATAGTTTTACTTGCTTTCTTTCCTTCTCCACCATGTAAGATTCTCCACTACATAAGATCTTGCTTTTACTTGTCTTCCAAAAAAAATTTATAATATTTCCAAATAGTTGAATTTTTATTCAAAGATGTCATTTTTAAAGCTTTTTGCAAACAAAAATTTGAAATACATTTTTTTACTTATTTTAATTTTTTGTAAAAAAAACGACAATTAAATATAAAGTCTTTCATGTTCACTAAATTGACTTTTTGATTTAAGTAGTTTTTAAAGGATAATATATTGTTAATATATTTATACAGTTTTTAAAGACAATACTTAAGGTCTGTAGTTTAAAGTTTATTATTGAATTTGTAAATAAATGAATGGAATTTTAGTAAATTCAATTCATTTATTTACAAATTCTAATGACAATTTATAATATAAATATATTAACAACTAATATAAACCCCAAACAACACAATTGGCACTAAATGCTCTAAAGCTTCACTTTAGAATTGCACTTATTGTGTATATATCTTAAATAATGAGTTGTAAGAATTACAACCTGTAAGGAGTTATAGGTTGTATTACAAAAGTTGATGTAACAAATAATCATTAAATAACTTGCCCAAACACGCAAATAAAACAAATTAGTGTTAAAACAAATCTGTAGCGTTATTACGGTATTTACTTTACTAATGCAGGTTGAAAATTTTCAAATTATTTCTTTCTAACTGCTTTATCAAATTTCTAGTAACTTCTGGGGTACCTCAAGGTTCTATTCTTGGTCCTGTTTTTTCTTATCTACATTAATGATCTTCCTGACAACTTGACTTTTAAAGTGGCTCTTTTTGCTGATTTTTGCTGATTTTGCTCAACTTTATACTTCTGTCATGACAAAAAGTCTTGAATCTGATCTAAAAATACATTGTTAACATAGTTGGATCAGCTCTATCTGCAAAGCATGAGCCTCTCTCCCATCATCATAAAGTTGCATCTCTTTCTCTTTTCTATAAATACTATCATGGTTGCTACTCGAAGGTGCTATCATCTCAGGTTCTATAAACTAAAAGTCATTCAGCTAAGTCTCATTCGTTTACTGTATCTGTCCCTGCATGATTTAAAATTTTTTATTTTTCTAGTTTTTTTTTCCCCGCACTTTAACCTTTCGGAACACTCTCTTATCTACGTGTTTTTCTTGCTCATACAACCTATAACTTTTTAAGTCTTCCATCAACTGTTTCCTTGCTCAATAACTCTATTCTTTTTTTTCGTAGTAATTCCCAACCTAATAATGGTTGCTTGTGAGCTTGTTGGGAGTGAAACAGAATAATAATAATAAAAAATTACAAAACTAAGTTTACCAAAAAACTATTTTGTTTTACATTTCTTTGTAAATTAATCTCTATAGGTTATATTATTAATTAATTTTTTTTTAGTAATAATATAACCAATATAACTATTTTGCCATTCACTGTCAAATACACTTTTTTGTTGTATTTAAAATTTTAAACAATAATTACAAATAAATTTTCAAAATTAAAAGATTTTCGAAAGACTAAAACAAACTAGAGAATTGTAAATATTTTATAAAAAATTTGTAAGTTTTACATTTCTTTGTAAATTAATCTCTATAGGTTATATTATTAATTAATTTTTTTTTAGTAATAATATAACCAATAGAGATAAGGCCCAGATAATTTGTTGGTGATGGCCAGATGTGACCTGCTCTTTTAAGTTTTTCTGAAATCGAAGTTATATTACAATGACTAGTTTTTTGATTTTTCTGAGCTTTCCAAACATTTCTTGAGTTTTATGCAAATTTGCAAGTTATAATAACAAAATTTGTTTTAGGCTGAAACTCCCAACAGGGCTGCAAATAACCACTGTTAAGTTAGGAGCTAGAAAACAAAGAATAGTGTTTATGAGCAAGAAAACAGTTAACAGAAGACTTAAAAAGTTGAAGGTTGTATAAGTCAGGAAAACATGAAAATGGGAAATAGTTTTAAAGCATTAAATCATTGAGAAAAATGAGATGGGATAGTGGCTCAAACTTGGCAGATCCAACTGCATTTACAATGCGTTTTTGCACCTTGCCTAGAAGAAAGATTTTGAAGACTCAATTATCTTCCTTTAGAGAGAAGACTGATCAGACAATACCCGGAGAGTGCAGAGTGTTCTTTAGAGTTTTTAAAAATTAGAACCATTGATGCCATATATCAGCAACAGGATTCAATCAAGTACTTATCAAATTCTTTAGAGCAGGGGTGGCCACAATCAGGTCTGTGGGCCGCATCTGGCTCTTAGCAACAATATGTCATGGCTTACAGTTATATAAATTTTTATTAATAATATAACCAAAAGAGATTAATTTACATTTATATATATATTTTTTAAAATAACACAATGTTTTTTATTCTTGACATGTTTTGTAAAATTTTATTTACATTTTCAAAAGATTATTTTACAATAATAAAACTCATAATAGAAATAAATATTAAAAAATTAAAAAGTCTGAAATTATTTCAGAGTTTTATTATTGTAAAATAATCTTTTGAAAATGTAAATAAAATTTTACGAAACATGTCAAGAATAAAAAACATTGTGTTATTTTTAAAAATAATTACTTATTTTATGCTATTACGACGATCATAAAAAAAAAATATATTTTTTTTGATGAGATTAATAATTGTTTATATAATGTAAAATATAATTTATGTTATTTGCCTATAATGTTTCTAAATTATATGCTTAATTTTTATTGCATTTTTGTATATGTTTTTTAAAGTTTTAAATTGCAAATGTGTTAATAAAAGAATTAAAAATAGAAGAATTTTATGTAAGCTTAGAATTGAACAAGAATCTTAATATTTAATTGGTTGAAAGGTTTGCTATAATATATATTTTTAAACTTTGTTTGTTTTTTAATTTAGAAAAAGAATATGCCAGTACTCAGTTTTCTTGGATAATTTTAAACCAAAATCAAGAAATACAAGGTATGCCAACTTATACTGAAGCAAAATCCAAGTATGTTTTGCTCCTCTATGCTCAAGATTCATGTGGTCTAGAAACATCTCTTAGTATTGTACTTCAATTTAAGCAACCAATCAGTTTTCAACAACCAACTTACTTTTATCGTTTTATATTTTCATCTGTTATTAATCCTGATGTAACAAGCAGATTTTTATTTATGGACACACTTGCTAATTTTTTGGGTGATTCTAATCGTAGCAACATTGGTTTTTCGCAGTTCAACCAAAATATGATATTTTTTTTTAATTGTTCTATTTCTTATTCACCATGTGATATATACAAACTCGATGCTATATATAATAAATTAGCAACACCTGATTCTTTACCCAGATCATCTTTAATTAATGCTTTTACTCCAAACTTTCTCCTTACTCTTGTTGTAAAGCAATTAGATAAATGCTATGGTCCATTCACACCCATTGTTGTAGATCCTCCACCCAAAATATTTGTCTGGCTGTGTGGAGTCTTTATGTATTACATTCCTGAAAAAACATTTTATGATTATGAGCAGGGTTATACAAAAAATTTAAATCTGAGTTTACAAAGTAGTTCTTATGCTTCTAGTTTAGTTCAGTTCTCTTCATCATCTCAATCTATTTCTATTTTACCAATAGCATCATTTATGGCATTATCTACAAGCTACTATTTTAATATTGTAGCTACTAACAGGGCTCAACTAAGCAGCTTAGTATCATTGGTTATACAATTGCAAGGGCCATATAGTCTGTTTCGGGAATGCCAAATTAAATTGTTATTAGTTAAAGGTATGTCTCGGCATAGTTCAACATACGAAGCTGCAATATTTATTATAGGAAAACTAGCAGTATATTTTTCTATCAGAATAGATGAGATTGTTGTTGTAGATATGCAAGATTCTACAGACTCAATTACATTTAGCTGGAGCTTTTGTTCAAAAAATTATCAGTCATATGTCAATGATTCTGCAAACCAAAGTGTTGACTATATTGCATTTCAACGAAAAATTTTGATGAGATTGTTTAATGAGGATCGTGTAACATTTAATGTTGAATTTAAAAATGTGTTTGGAAGTTATTTCACTGTAAGTACTGTAACAACGGATTTCACTAAGCGGTGTGCTAGCTTTCCTCCAATATCACTAAAAGATGAGATTACAATTATAATCAGCTATGGTGGTTACTATTTTCACACTTACCAAAATAATTATTTTTATGATTTTAAAGATGGTGGAGCGTTCAATCTAAAAATTAGTTTGTCAACACTTAAAGGTTCTCCAGTGCAACTAGACAGCTGGGTTAATGTTGATATTGTCACACGGCGCATTATTGCTGTGGTTTATGATAGCATCCGTAGAGATGCTTTGCAGAAATATCAGTTTTATTTAACTGCTATTAATTCTCTAGGGTTAACTTCTCAAATATCTGTTGTTATCTTGAAAGATAGTATGATATATAATCAATTAGGACCTTTTTATATAAGATATTACTTTAGTTATGCTGGTTCAAGTGACTCAGTATATGTAAATCAGAGTGCTTACATGGTTGATAGCATATTGAGGTACTTTACTTCTATTACATCAAAATCAATGATATTAGTAAATTATTTTTTGAAAGCATATGGATATTTGGAGTATAGAGTCATGGAGTGGACTGTTGCGTTTCATACATGTGATTCAATTGTGTTAAAAACAATTAAAGATATGTATATGAATCAAGGTAATTTTTTACTATTATGCTTAGGTGTATATATGTATATTGTATATATATATATATATATATATA